TGAGTAATCGACTCGCGGTAACTTTCATCGCCTTTCCTATGCCACAAGCTTTCGAATGATATCTGGTTTTGCATATTTGCGTGCAAAAATAACGTCATAAATCTATGTTAAAGTAAGAAAATGTTGAAATTTTGTAAAAATTTGACATTTTTTTCGATTTCATTTCAAAATAGAGGAAAAACTAAAGGCCCCATCCAAATTCTGAGCCCAGTTCCTTGAAGAGCATTCAATTTCCGTTCGGAAGGTACCTTTTTAGTGCATTTTATCGGATTCCTGTGGCGTCCAGATTGAGTTAACCTATACACATATCCTAAGTCATATCACATAGCATTAACCTGATAACGTATGTTAACGCCATAGGATCAACGAGGGGTCAACTGAGGTCATTTTGTTGACCCCTTGTGACCTCGGGTCACACGCAGGAACTTACTTTTGAGCAGTCCTGTCGCTCAGAATCTTGATCTGTTGGGGGCCCGTTTTTCAAGTGACTCAATCTGGACGCCACAGTAAACCGATAAAATGCACTAAAATAGTACCTTCCGAACGGAAATTGAATGCTCTTCAAGGAACTGGGCTCAGAATTTGGATAGGGCCTTTAGTTTTTTCTCTATTTTGAAATGAAATCGAAAAAAATGTCAAATTTTTACAAAATTTCAATATTTTCTTACTTTAACATAGATTTATGACGTTATTTTTACACGCAAATATGCAAAACCGGATATCATTCGAAAGCTTGTGGCATAGGAAGGGCGATGAAAGTTACCGCGAGTCGATTACTCAATTACACCGGACACAGTGGGCCAAAAACCGAATTTCGGGGCCAAAAATCGAAAATCGTCTCTGAAAACCGGAAAAGCATTTTCAGATCAAAACAAATGCCCATTTCGGTTATAATGGGACCCAATGAGTCCAAAAAAATCGGTCGTTACTCAGGAACAAAATGACTGTTGCATAGTGTTATTCATTCATCCATATACAGCGTTACAGTCTCCAGCGTTGTTGTTACACTGTATGCAGCGTTGCAGTCCCCAGTCTTCGTGTTAGGCTGTATTCATCGTTGGAGTCTCCGTTGTAAGAGTTATACTGGATGTAGCGTTACAGTCTCCAGTGTTGGTGTTATACTGCATGTATCGTTGCAGTCTCCATTGCTGGTGTTACACGGTACGCAGCGTTGCAGTTTCTAGTGTTGGAGTTGGTAGCGCCGCATACAGCTCGCCCAGCGGCTGTATGCAGTCCTAAATTTTCCATTGTTGATACTACAGCGTATGCAGCGTTGCAGTCTTCATTATTGGTATTATTCTGTAACTAGCGTTGCAGTCTCCTAGCATTACGGTCCAGTGATGGTGTTATATTTTATAACTGTATGTAGCGTTGCAGTCTCCAGTACTGGTATAATGTTGCATCAAGCGTTGCAGTCTCCAGTGTTGGGGTTACATAGTATGCAACGTTGTAGTCTCCCGTTTTGGTGTTATATTGTTAAGAGTGTTGCAGTCTCCAGCACCCCCTTGCTGCTGCACTTTCCGAATTTCCGATTTCTGATTCCGATTTCTGACAAATTTACAAAACTCAAACCACAATATTGCTAATGCAGGCACGGTATATTTTCTGTACAGCAAACATTCAGCATTCGTGGACATCAATATTAAATAGCTGGCGAGTACAGCGCCACGGCGGTTGCCGCAGCTGCCTCGCCACTGGTTCGTTGGTCCCCGTTCCACGGCGGTGGCACGCAGGCCCCGCGGACGAGCCGGGCCGCCCCTGGTGTGTGACCGGGGACATACCGACTCTGACCCTCCCTACCCAGTCCCATCGCAGCCCACCCCAGCGACACCCCACATACACTGCCCGCAGGAGATCGCAATCACACACATACACGCACACATACATAAAAGACAAATCTATGGCAACACATGTGAGGATCGACAACGGCTACACAATCTATCATACAACTTACAGTGATGGCGAATGAGATATATGTCACACAGGTGCGAAATGCGTATAAAATCATCACAGCTCCTCACGCCGTCCGGCCCTGGGGTCGTGACGGCGTATTGTCTCACAGAGGCTCGCCGCAGCAGCGGCCGGCCGGCTGGCGACGCCCACTCGCCGCCCGACAAAATCCACCAACTGGTCTCAAAGCACAACACAGAGAACAAGCCTAAACCGCACATCCGTCCGAGAATAAAACCAACCGAGCAGACAGCCGTCAACAATAAAATATACCTACATCGCTCTGGGTAAGCTCGTAAACCAATGTCCGAAACGATAAACGCAACAAAATGCGGCTCGCTCACGCGTGCGCGCCGGCATTGCACTAGTCTCGGGGGAAGAGGCCGGCCGGCCGGCCGTCGGGCGCCGCGCGCGTCACACTAGCACCTCGTGGAACTCTGGCGAGTCCTCTCTCAGCGTCCTGCTCAGCGCCGACTGCCGCAGCGCGGCGCCGCGCAAAATCTCCTTGTTGATCTCCTTGGAGGGGCCGGCGCCCCGCGGCGGCGCGAGATTGTTCACGTTCACCGGCTTGTAGAGAGCCGGTTTCTCTGGCCTCGGCGAGTCGAGCGGGAGCTCGCACGGCTCGAGCGAGTCGCGGCGCTTGGGCGGTGCGGCTGTGGCGCCGCCCGGCGGAGCGTCCAGCTCCTTTAGTTTATATCCGTCCCGGCAGGCGTCACTAGTGCAGCCGGCGCGGCACGTCTCACTGTCGGGAGAGTCCAGTCGGTTTCTGTATCGGCGCAGGTTCTTCTCGTTCTGCACGTTGTTGCAGTTCTCCTCCTTGGTCTGCTGCTCGTCACGGAGCAGCCGCGCGCGGCGCCGCTGCTGCCAGGCCAGCAGCAGCAGGCAGACGGCCAGCACGCCGACAGCCAGCAGCGTGCAGACGACGGCCAGCAGCGGGCCGCCGCCGGCCGGCGCCGTCTGCTCGCTGGTCTCGGTGTGCACCTCGGTGACGGCGGCGGCCACCGGCAGCGAGCCGCGACCGGCGCGCAGCAGCTCGCCCAGCCGCTGAGCCGTCTCCGTCACCAGCGGACTGATGGCGGACACGCCCGGGGAGCGGGGCGTCGACTGGGGAGAGACGAGAGAAACGGTCAGAGACGGAGAGAAACGGTCAGAGACGGAGAGAAACGGTCAGTGACGGAGAGGAACAGTCAGTTAAGGCACGATTGTCTGGCTGGGCCAGCGATAAAGTGAAGTCTCATCACAGTCGATCTTTCACATGCTAAAACTGTTTGTGTGCAAGTCTATGAGACTTGTCACGACTTTTCAAAGTCATTAACATAAAAGCTACAACAAATGCTAATCGTTCTAGTTTCTAGCTTCTAATACTCACCAGTGTGACGGCGATAGCTCCTCGCTCCCCCTCGGCCAGGTCACACATGACGACCAGCGCCTCGCCGGTGAGCGAGTCGGGAGTCTGCTGGACGAGCAGACGGCGCAGCTGTGTGCACACTCCCTCGACCGTGGTGCCCGGCGCCAGCTGTGCTGACTCGAGACGGACAGTCAGCCGCGCGCACGAGTTGCTGAGGAACGCCTGGTTGGGCCAGCAGCTGGTCGGCGCCGGGCTGATGGGCGGGTTGACCGTCTTCCCGACGCCCAGTTTTCGACACTCTCCGTGATGAGCGCACGGCGGCGAGAGGCAGTTGTCGCTGGGCGCCTGGACGCACACCTGAGGCGAGAGAGGAAGGACCGGTCAGGGTTGCACCCCACCGCGTCAGGCACGGAGCAGGAGGCACCGTCGGGCAGGTCGGCGCCGGGTCGGACCACACAGCGCACGACGGAGCCATTATTAAACCGCGACCCGGGTCGTGATCCACAACAGGAGGGCCAACGAGTAATCTGACGCAAAATTAGAGCTCACCGCAGGAAGGATGACCGCCTGACGGCCGTCCGACGTTATGATAAAGTGGTCTTCTCCCGGGGAGGGCGCGCTCGCCCGGTGGGCGCAGACAACAATCGCAGGGGCGTCGGCCGACAGTCACCGACGACAGACAGGCGACATAATGCTCGCTCATGAATATTAACGGTGTCGCCTCTGCGTTCGGGGGCCATAATGTCACAGTGACAGCAGAGGACATTGCAACCGGAGATGGCCAAGGCAGAGCTGAGGAGTGGCCGGGTAGAGTGGATGTCTGTGGGTGGAGGACATGGCCTAGGAGTGGCAAGGGAGAGTGGGAAGTGGGGAGCAGCCGGGTGGGGGAGCTTAGGGTTGGCAGAGAGTGAAGGGAGAGTTGGGGAGGTGGCTGAGGATATAAGTAGCAGAGCTGAGCAGGAGCAGGGATGATTACAGAGCTTTACTTGTCCGGAGGGGCGAAAAAACATCAAGTAGTTCTCACCTGTCCGGCGCCGCACTCGGTGAACTTTAGCACATCATTGACGAGCTCGATGCAGTTGGACGCGCCGCACCACAGTTTGGTGCACGTGACCAGTCCGTTCTGGCAGCGGCACGTGTTACACGAGTTCTGCCACGTGTGTCCGTCGGCGTACTCTGAGCCTCGCCAGTGGCACGTGGCGCCGGACGCTGGCTGGTCAACCACTGTGGAGAGACACAAGCGGTCAGAGAGGTCAGGGGCATGGTCAGAGGACCGAGCTAAGGCGTTAATTAAACCACTCCTCATAATACCATCAAGGACAACCCATAGAAATAACGACGAACAAAAAGACGACATTAACCGTAACCGAATAGAATCTATTCGGTCACATCTGATGTGAGAAATCCAATAACTGATGACTCTACAAAAGTTTTAGCCTAATGAACTCAGCGAAGTCTTTTCGCCTGAACTCACCCTCTGAACAGGTCGATCCACCTCTGCCGGGCGGACAGATGCACGTGAATCCTCCGACGGCGTCCACACAGGTACTGCCGAACGAACACGGGCTGCTGGCGCACTCATCCACATTGATGCGGCAGTCAGGGCCGAGGAAGCCGCGCGGGCACACGCAGGTGAAGAAGTTGACGCCGTCCACGCAGCTGCCGCCGTTGTAGCACGGGTGCGGGTTGCAGTCGTTGATGTCGTGCTCGCAGCGGCGCCCCTCGAACCCCTCTCTGCAGATGCACGAGAAGGTGTCTCCCGTGTTGACGCACGTGGCCAGGTTGAGGCACGGGTTGGCGCTGCAGGCGGGGCTCTTCCTCAGCTGGCAGACGGTGCCCTCCCACTCGGGCGTGCAGTGGCAGAGGAAGGTGGAGCCCAGGTCGCGGCACGTGCCGCCGTTCAGACACGTGGTCCGATCGCAGTGTGATTCGGTCAGGTGGCACCGTTTGCCCTTCCATCCGTCGGGGCAGTCACACGCGTAGTCGGCCACGGCGTCCACACACGTACCGTTGTGACGGCACGGGTTCGGCTCACACTCGTTCTTATCTGCGGAGAAAAGGCGAGGAGGATGTTAGCGAGCACGGTTCATACAAGCGCCCATAGACTTTCAAATCCGATAGTCAGTTTACTTGCAATTGTCATTAGAGTATAGCTAGCGAAACTACACACGAGTGATTAACACGAGATACCCCACAGCTCCGCCGATCTTTTATCTCTCGTGACTCCATCAATCATCAATTTTCAACGTTAAAGGGATGATCGACTGATGTTCGTGCCAACGGAGGCTGGGATGGCTCGAGTCGGGTCAAAGGTGAGCCCGTTCACCCGCAGGCTATAACTAGCACACGGCTGGCCCCGGCCGCCTACATTAGACGCTGCTCGCTGTCCGGCCGGCCGCCGCCGCCGCCAAGTGCAGTATGGGAATGGAAAGTTATCGCGTGGGAAACGCGGCACATAGAGAGATAAAGAAGCCCGTCAAACCAGTTGGTCCGCATTGCATAAGGGCTGGCCGGCAGCACGGCTCGAGCGAGCGGCCATCCCGGCCGGCGGAGGACTGAGCGCCGATCCCATTCGGCCTCTCTGGCTGACCCGGGCCCCCGAGACCCCTTAGAGATGACCCCGTGGCCCTGAAACTACTGGACGACAGAAACGACCGTCAGGACCTACGACCGGAAAGCACTCCGGCATCGTCTCTATATATTGGCTACATTGGCCCCACTAGAGCCGCACAGACACAGTGGGCATGCGGTGGGGAAGGCACGGGGGACGTCGAGACACTCACTTGTGTTGCAGAGCGGCCCCTCCCAGCCGAGCGGGCAGATGCAGGTGAAGCTGTCGATGCCGTCGATACAAGTTGCGCCGTTATGGCACGGGTCGCTGCTGCAGTCGTTGATATCTGTAACAGAACAGTAGGGTCGTGGTGAGATACTCGTAAGTGTGGATATTTTCTATCGGTGTTCCGGGTGTTCGGGATCTCAGGGGCGGATGTTGTCAACGTGTGTGGGCGATTTCAGATGCTGGCGATGGCCCTTGTTGGTTTACAGTCATTTCGCTCTAGGTTCATCGCTGGAGCAGCCATCAGCGATAGTCGGCTAGCTATCGCTGGTCGCCGTTGACCCGTGGAGGGGCCCAGACGCCGGCGCTGGCCGACACCTGGGCTGGGCTCGTCGGCAGGTGCGCTCACCACCGGGAGGCGGCCACCACTGGCACGCCACGGCACCGACCTCGCCACGGGGCCGCCTTCCGTGCGCTTTCACTGCCGCCCCGCGCTGCCACTAGCGCCTCTTGGCAAAAACAAACGGGGTGTTATATTTTCCGCCTGGCGACACCAAACATTTACTATGATGGTGAATCTGTCTGACTGGGAACGCGGAGCGATATGATCAGCGAGGTAGCATCGGCAGTGCTGGACAGTGGATCAGCCGTGCTGACCGCAACAGCAGGGCAGATAAATCGGCACAGTTCTACCCCACCGAGGGCTGGCTGGACTGAGAGCGCTGCCGAGCCGCCTCCGGCGGTCCGTGACCGTCACCATCAGAGGCGGGTCGTAGCCGGGATCACAGCGCGGCCGGCCGGCGCCGACACTTTGACCAGCGCGCGTGGCATGTGCGCCAATTATCCAACGATGTGGTGACATTCCCAGCGTCCAAAAACGCCGCGGCCGCGCCACTAATTGGCTGCGATCTCACGAGGGCGGCTGTGGCGCGCGCTGAGACTATCGGACAGCCATCAGAGTGGCTCCGTCCATCCGTCCGTCTGTCGGCGGTGCAGCGGGGACTGCAAGTCGTCCGCAGCGACCGATTGAGTTGTTGGCCTTATCGGCAGTCGGGCGGCAGCGGCGCCCATAAACCAGCGCGCCGCATGGCGTCGGGCCGCGCCGACCTCTCTCCCACGGTCAGCAGCTCTGAGCCAACTGCTAACGAAGCTCGGCGCGGCGGCGGCAATTAGTCGTCGGCCGGGACCGAGTTGCAGCCGGCGCCCGCTGCGGCCGACGGGGGGCGCCGCCGCCCTCTGCGCCTGCTTTATGACTGAATCAGAAGCCCGCCGCTCGGCCGCTGCTTTATTGGCGACCGCTATTGTTATGGGCGGCGGGAGCTGTTATCGGCAGCGGCGGGCGGGCAAAGGAGGCATCCAGACGGCACGGCAGGTCCGGACCAGGCCGGTCGGCTGACCTCTGCAGAGACACGGCCCGCTGGCGCCGCATGCAAAACGGTCTGATGTGAGGCCAGGAGGGATTCGTTTCACACTGTGCAGCTATGTTCACTTATATCCAATAACATCCCTTTACCTGACATCCTCAAACCAGATAACTTGAACATCGCCGACATCCAGCTAAGCAGCACGCATCTCACCGAAAACTGGTCAGCTCGAATCTCTCGGGGACCAGTTAGTGTCCAACTAACAGAGAACCTGTCATCACCCAGCCGTCAGACCGAGGTGGTCGGAGTGCATCTCACAAAGAACTGGTCGGGGGCGCTCAGAGCCGGCCGGCCGATATGATCGCGCACTGAGGAGCGTCTTCGTCCGGAGGCCACCGCACGTGACAAACAGCTCACAGAGCCCAATGTGACGCAACTCGCACAGACCGATCGTCTCATCAGCGGGGAAAACTGATGAGCTGGGCACTGCGACCGGTGGGGACCGAAGGCGACCGGCCGAAGAGACGGCATGGTAAGCCGGTGACCCGCGGGTCTCTCCGTACGACACGACACGACAGTGACCTACCGTGTGCCCTAGAGTCACACGGCTAGCTTACACATCCATTCAGTGTACTTTCGTGCCAGTGAAGTGACGTTATTCAAACATCATAGTGACATCATCACCTCTGAATGACATCACATCTCCGTGTAATGAATTAGCCCTCAACCGTCCGACTCGGGGCACTCCCACCCATCCAGCGCCACCGAAATGGCCGCCAATCGTCACCGAGATGACGTCATCCAGTGGTAACGTCACTACCAGTGATGACGTCAGTCTCGGTACAGTGCATTAGTCGCAGCGAGATTTACTCAGGCACTACGATGATGGCAGGTAGAGCCACTCCCTGGCTTTGTTTCGAGACATAAACAGACGGGTGGCCGCTGGTTTTCGGTGTCGGTGTGCACCGCAGGCGACGTGCACACTGCACAGTGTACAGGCAGTGTGCAGTGCAGGTGCACATCGGGGCTCATTACGAAACAGCGGCCGATGGGTCAATAGCGCGGCGCGCAGAGCACACAGACTCCGCCACCGACCGGAAGGTGGACTTTGATCAATTCATAAGCAGCGAGCACGGGGCGGTGGGACGAAATCTGACACGGGGTTGGTATATACGGGGACGCAGTGTGGGGACTCGCGAGTGACCGGGATCGGAGGACGGTACTAGTCTGGTACTGGTAGTTGTACTGGTAGCTGTACTAGTCTGGTACTAGTACTGGGTACTGGGTGCTGGTACTCACTCTGGTGGCAGTGGCGACCTGTGTAGCCGGGGTCGCACGCGCAGCTGAACTGGCCCGCCGGTCCCGAGATGCAGCGTCCGTGCTCGCCGCAGATCGTCACCAGCTTGGCCGGCGCGTTGAGGCCGGTCGGCGCGATCATACAGCTGTCCACTGTGTGGGGACAGAGGGACGGTCAGACGGGGCCGGTGCGGGGGTGAAACGGACAGGTTAGTGCAGCACGGTGGGGCAGTACGGGGGTGAAACGGGCACGTTAGTGCAGCCCAGAGGGGGTGATCAGACGTTACAGATACGGGAGTAAGGCAAACCAGCTCGAGTCACACAGGGAGGCGCAAGGGATTTACAGGAGTAGTTAACTCAGATGAATATAAATGTGGGTCAGAAAAAGAAGATGCTCGCAGGATACCTAGATGGGACAAAGACATGTCTGGGGAGTTGCATATAAAAAGGGAACTGCGTTGACAATAGCTGACAATGTTAGGAAGCCTAGCACGCCTACATTGTTGAATGAAAGTTATGCAATAGCTTGGTATCAACAATGTCATTCCCGCGGGCGTACGACTTAAATATTTGAAACGCTTCGCAAAAATATCTGATTGAACAAATCCACGCAACGTTGTATGTGATTGTGTCATTTTTAATTGCTAGACACTGGGGTTGATCAATTAATGCCGACATGAGATCCGAATGTCGGGTATGTCGGCGGGCCGCGGCTGCAGCGCCAATGTCGAGTCTGCCTTTCATCCCGGATGACTGCATCCGGCCGACCAGCCCGCTCCCACAGCTAACTCCCAGTGGGATTAGAGAGGCCGGATTCCAACGCCAAGGCCACAGCTCCGCCGCGCAGAGCGGCACAATTAACCGCGTACATTTCGCGATAAAACCGCCACTCTATGGCCGTAAATTAATCGTATAATACAGTTAGTCATTAGTGGGAGCATTCGGAGCAGCTAAGACATCTGCGGCGCGGGCTGCTCCGGAAATGTCGCGATGTCTGACGCGTCAGAAATGTCATCCGGCTATGTTCGTATTTGGGGTGCGCTCGTGAGTCTAATTCGAATAAACGGCATTAGTGACAGGCTTTAGAGCATCATACCAAGCCGGTAGCCTCGGCGCTTGGAGCTAGTCACCCTGGTGAGAGCGGCGGGGAGAAGAGGGACAGGGAGGGGAGGCTCACCACAGAGCCTCCAAGTCGTGGCGAGCCACCATCGGCCACAATCGGGCCACAAAAACGACGTGCCGGTGGCCGGACGACAAATGCGCGTGTCGCGTGCGGTACTGAGCGCGCCGAGACCGCCGGCACGCGACTGGACCAGCCGGCGGCCTCTTGTTAGAACAGTGTGACCGCAGCGGGCGGGCGACACCCGAGCCGGGCGGAGCTGGGAGCTGAGAGCTGGGAGCTGGGAGCTGGGATCTGGGAGCTGAGGGAGCTCGCACCGATAATTCACCAACTGCGGACAGACGGCGGACCACCGGCGTGTCGCCGTCGGCTCGCTCGCGGGTGACAACATCGCTGCCGGTCGTGCAAAAACTCGCCCATTACCATACAATTGCATATCCGGTATCAATAAATAGTGGTGTGTCTGCCGCCGGTGGGGTTCATTTGTTTTGCGGCTCACTGTCTGAGCAGTGACTGCCCCCAGCTGCCGGGGAGGGGACTCGGCTGGACTGCCGGCCGGGCTGGAGGACACAGCTGGAGTCAGAGCCGGAGTCGGAGTCGGAGTCGGAGTCGGAGTCGGAGTCGGAGTCGGAGGCTCACTCACCGTTGCACTGCGGTCCTAGGCAGACGGCCTTCGTCTCGCTGCAGTTTTTGCCGTGAAGTCCGTCGGGACACTGGCAGTAGTAGTCGCTGTTACTGTTGAAGCACCGCGCCTCGTTCTCGCACGGATTCGGGTTGCACAGATCCATGTCCGTCTGTAAGGGGACAAAAAGGTCAGCTAATGCAATTAACAGTTTCGCAAAGCTTTCCAGTGTCGGCAACACTGTGTTGTTTCGTGCTTTAGAAGTTATCTGTGGTGGCTGTGTCAAGCATTATGTTCTAGCGTGAAACTTTATACCTAAATCGAAATCATACCTAAATGAGCTGGTTAGTTCGTGTAAAAAGAAGAGTGTGGGAAACAAGTATGATTTGAAAGGACATTCAATTTAGTTAAAAGCGGGTATTTTAAAGAGTTTGTAGGGGAGAGCGGGGAGAGTTGTATCATGTCCAAGTTGTATCAGGGCGAATTGTGCGAAACTTATCCAACAGATGGCGCTCGTGACACGACCAGCCGACGAGGTTTTCCGGGCGCAATCTTTCCCTGTTCTGTCGTGTGGCTGGGTGGACGCGTCTGGAGGTGAGAGCCGATTTTATGTTTTTTTAATGTCATTCTAAAAAAATAAGTTGCAAGAAAATATGTGTTTTGGGCATTTAGATGTGCACGAATTTGAAAGATCTCCGTAGCGGTGGTGAGGGTAGGTTCTAAGGCTGCGTGAGTGAAAATGGATTTCTCCAGCTGTCCGCTGTTTTTGAGCACCAGGATGTTTTTTCCAAGATGGCGGCGAGGTACATGTTGTATCAGAGCCGGGTGGGGTATGTTGTAACATGTATGTATGTATGTATGAATGGGTATGTTGCTTTTGATCGCGAAAGCTAAGCCCTGGCTCGCGTTTGTAGATAGCTAGTCAATACTCGTTCCATTTCGGCACAATGTGTTGGCTTCTTTGCTCTTAACGGGCCACTTTTGCGTCTAGTCTGTTGATGTTTCGTTCGTTTGACGTTTCGATGTTTCGTTCGGATTGCATTGACCTAAGTTTGGCCTAATAAAAGTAAAGCCTTTGAGCATATACATTGTATTAACCCCATTTAATGTTGTTGTTATTTTCAAAGCCAGTAGAAAGCACACACCCTGAAACGTGAAATAGTGATACAAATTACCCCACCATGTGATACAACTCACCCAAGCCATGGGGCAAGTTGTATCAAAAACATTGTTCTATTCGGCAGACCGTAGAAGAAAAACTGGTAGAGGTAACGGAAAAGTTACTTGGCACGAAAAAGCAGAAGAATCAAGGAAGGAGATAGTATGGAAATAATGAGTTTATCACGGATAGTTACGAGGTTATGGGTCTCGGAGTAAAAACTGATACAACCCACCCCACTCTCCCCTACGTTTATTTTCCATCCGGCGTTATCCCCGTTTTCCCGAAAGATAGCTACGCGTCGATATCTGTCTCGCTGACTACCTAATCTGAACACGGCTACCGCTCTCTCCTCGCGCTCCCGTACTCTGTCCATCTCCCGCTGGCAGTGGCATTTCCTGGTAGAGTAGGCCTCTCTATCACGTGACCTCGCCCCCCCCCCCCCCCACCTGACCGCAGTCGCTCTCTGAACGTGGCCACTCAGCCTCAGAATGACCCCAACCGCTCCCGACCCGGCCTCGGCGCCATTTTGCAGCCGCGCATCGGTTCGAAAATTTATCTGAGAAATAGGAACGTCATTAAATTAGACTGCAGACTACAATTAGGCAACAATCATGCTGAGTATATAGGTGGGCCGTCCGAGCGGCTGGGGCGGGAAGGGGCGGGGCCAGCTGCGAAGTGGCCAATCATCGTTCGTTTTGATTGCGAACCAGCCAACGGCCGATGGCGAGCGGAGGTGATGTGTGCATGGCGCAGTGGGCCCGGCCGGCTCGCTGAACGGCGCTCTCTTCATTACTGAGAGGTCGAGCCAGTGCTAACGGCAAGTCTGTCCACCGAAATGGTTATGGTGGGACCAGTGAAACTGCTTGCTGGGGCAATCAGATAGCTTATGTAGTTAGCTGTGTGACTAGACCGTTCATCGCTGTGTCTCTATAAGGCCAATTTCGCTGTGTCTCTATATGAGCCCAGGACTGGCCGGTTCCTGATGGTGCTGTCCACCGGGCGGCGACATCTGTCTGGCTACTGTCTGAGTCGACATTCCGCCGACATTTCGCCAGCAGTCCCTCTGACAGGCACACAGCACCGCGACAGCGGCCGATCATCCCTTCCCGGAACGACCCGCGCCCGGACCTGCTCTCAATAAGCATTTCCATGTGTCGTCGGCGAACGGCGGGACCTTCGGCCGTCACCACTCGCGTCCTCTCGCCAATGAGCTGCATACAGTCCCGGCTTCCACCGTCTAAATACCGGCGGAGCGACCGATCATGTCTGGCCGCCGTGTCAGCCTGTCGCCGGCTTTGGTCACTGTCTGACACACCACTGTGTCCATCTGACACTGCACTGTGTCATGGAGCGGCGCTCAACATGTTTGTGAGATCGCCGCTGGTAAGCGCCGAGCGAGTCATATTTTATTTAAATGATGTAGCAGGTGTCAAACGGCCCTGTTCGCGGTTGAGTGCGGCGGTGGCCGCTTGGCGACCGGGCCCGGTCGGGATTACACAGCTAGTGACTGAATATGGCTAGACCGGCTGTGATAACATGCTACTGTGTCGTTTGGACCGGACTATGGCTACGACTGACTATAACTCGACTGATTAATGTGATTATGACGGTGACCAGCTATTTCTGACTTGACCAGATGTGACTAAATTGGTAACTAGCCAGACTAGATTGTCCGTGGTGTGTAACTGTAGACTGTGACCGTGACTGTGAATGTGACTGTGACCCTGTGACTGGACTCACCTCACAGCGGTCGCCCGTGTAGCCGACAGGGCAGATGCAGCGGTAGCCGGCGATCAGATCCACACACTCGCCGTCGTTCAGGCACGGGCTCGGGTCACACTCGTTGATGTTCACCTCGCAGTTCCGGCCTGTCGGGAGGGGGAGAGAGAGGGGGTCAGTCGGGAACAGGTGTTACCCACCGGCCGGCGTCGCAGTCCCCGGAGACTTCAATGCGGCCGACACCGGACCGGCGGCGCAGATGAAGACATCTAAGGAGGATGAGTCGGCGCGATGGTCGGACAAAGTTTGCGAACAGCATGACGCGGCGCGAATAGAGCGCGAGTGAAGCCGCCTTGGACCACTGCTGTGCCCAATGAGGGCAATGGGGGCGGTAAAGGAGGCAGCGCGGCCCGAGCAGTCCAATTTGCCGGGCGTCCAGCGGCTCCATCAGGCCGCCCGGGCCGACAGCGCGGCGATTTATGCACCTTCTGCGCGCGGCTAGTCGCATCGATAATCAGCTCCTCATCTTGATAAATCAAATATTTAGGGGCCAATTAGAGTGCGGTTCTGCAGTGGCCCTATTAGCCGTGTTCGGTGGTTGGTGCTAATGAGGAGACGCCGCGAACCCGCGGTGGTGCGGCTGAGGGTGCGGTTTGTGTGACCGGAGACGGTGCTACTAGTCTACTAAGGGTGCCGGCTCTGCTGCCCGGTGAACCGCGGACCTGCAGACACTCTGCCGCCGGTTCGTCCGCGCACACCCCGCGACCTCGACCACCGCCCGGGGCGGCGGCGGAGCGACGGCACCTTCCACGAAACGACTCGGGCTGCGGCGAGCGGCCGCCGCCGGCGTCGATAAATAACCGGGACTGGTTGCAGCGCCGGCGGCACTGCGAAAACGAGCAACAGAAGCCCACTTTGGCCGCTTCCTGGCGCTCATGCGCTCTGCGGTGGAGACGCGGCACGTGATTCTGCTCCCAGATGGGATGAACTCCCCCCCCCCCTACACACAGAGCTGCCCGCTGATGGGGGAGTCAGGGGAGACCCGCGCCGTCACTGACCTGTGTAGCCAGACTGGCAGATGCAGCGGTAGTCACTGGCCAGGTCGATGCACGTGCCGCCGTTGTGGCACTGCTCGCCACAGTTACTGATGGTCTGGTCGCAGTTCTTGCCCGTCCAGCCCTCCATACACTCGCACTGGTAGTCGCCCACCAGGTTCTTACAGGAGACCGCGTTCACACACGGACTTCCTTGGCATTCGTCCGAATCTGTAAGCGGAACGTCAGTTAGAACATTGGCGGCGAATTTAATGTGCTGTGGAGTTATGGACTGCCGCAGCAACAACCACCAGATATAAAAATCCCTCCCCAATACCAGGACTGGAAGTTACGCATAACTGACAAAACTATCAGAAACTTGTTTAAAACCAAATTAACTCTGTTCATCAAGACCACTGACTTCTATCCTCAAAATATTTATAGCAATTTTCCGACCCCAAACCGAGCGGTCAATTTTCACTATACCGCTGGACGCTGGCCACGATTGACGGCTGGGTCCCGGGCGAGGGGCTCCTTTTTCCAATCACTGAGTGACGGACGGGGCTATCAGGAGAGAGGAACCACCGGGCAGCGGTCCGATCAGAGGCGACCGTTACCCGGGCGGTCCGATCGAGTGCCGGACTGATGGAACGGGCCCGAGCATTCCCCGACCTGCCCCGAGAAGCCCCGAGCGGCCCCAGCCTTCCCGGATTGACCCCTGGCGGTCCCAGAGAGTCCCCCGAGCGTCCCCGGAGCCCGAGTGCTCACCTAGTTGGCACAGGTTGCCCTCCCATCCGTGGGGGCAGCTGCAGCGGAACCCATCCACCAGATCGACACAGGTTCCTCCGTGCTGACACGGTGATGACGCCCTGCATTCGTTCACATCTGCGGAGAGAGGTCAGCAGCGGTCACAAAGGGTGGGTGGAGAGGTCACAGGTCGAGAGGCTGCTGAGCTTCGGTAGCGGAGGTGCTCACTTAGCCTAGCAGCTACTTCCGTTCATAATCCTTTGAACACAGAGTGCTAACCAGCTCGACAAATATGGCGCCCGCAGCCTTCACACCTGCTGTTGGCAGCGCTGCCGTGCCAAACGCGCCGAGAACGCCTCTGTGCTGTCAACGCGTCACAACCGCCGCCCTGCAGTCGGTGCTCCAAGAACGCCAACTGTCCAACGGAACACGCCTGGTGTCCGGCTGATTCAATTAAAAGCCAATAGGAGTCCGAGGGTGCTGCGGGCCGGGCGGTGGCTCTCATTAACAGCGCCCAGCGCAAAAACCGGGCGGCTGCGGCTGCGACGCCGGCTGATCGGCCGTCATTGCTGCAGTGGCGGCCGGGGAGGGGCTCCACCCTGCCGACAGATCTTCCGGCCGCCAGTCATGATGCCAAATCAGTCAGCGCCGCGCTTCTCTGTTTATGCAAAGCCGCCGAGGTGCCGGCGTGGTCCAGTCATCGGCCGTAATGAGGCTCCGAGCGCCACGGCGCCGCGGATAAATTAAAAGGGTTTCCTAATAAGAGGTTACCGGCAAGCCGCTCGGTTCTGCTCGGCGCTGCAGTTTGGTAAAAAGCCAACTATGCGCGGGGGCTGCATTGAATAAACTCCAATCGGCTGGTAATGGCCCGGCGGTGGCACGGTGCTGTAATTTGGCGCGTCCGAACGCCGCGCGTGATTCATTACTCTGCATTATATTCCAGATTCGGTGGGCGCGGCGGCAGCGGCCCTCCGCGGCGTCCCGTCACGGACGGAGGTCTGTGACCACAATCGGGAGGCATTCCGGCCATGGCAGCGCAGCTCGTAAACGCTGCCTGTTGTACAGTTTACTGCCGGCAGCGCGGCCATTAGCTGCCGAGGCGGTCAGGCGGCGGTGGGTGCCGCGCGGTGGCGGAACACCTGGGCGCCGCCACACCCCGTCACCTGACCCCAGAGACGGGGGAGGGCGACCCTGACACCTGACACCTGACAGAGTACCGTGCACGGAGCACCCCTGACTAGGAGCCGTGTGGGAGGTAGCATGGTCAGTGGAGAACATGGGTCATAGAGAAAACAATGACATCGCTGGTTTTGAGTCTCAGAGAATGGATTGTTCGAGGCAGCAATTAAATGTGAATAGCCAAATGGCAGGATTACTTTAGAGGAAATAAGTAATAAGCAAAATATGGTGAGGAAGTCGGTTCGGGACAGTGGAAGGTTGAAAACGTCGGAAATCAAAGAAACGGATAATAATGAGGAGACTTGGGATTAGGGGAGTCTTTGATGAGGTGAGGTGGAGAGTTGGAGGGGTCCAGGAGGCGCCGGAGAGCAGCCTCTCCGTGAGAACGGGCGGCTCGGTGGCGCCAATTTCGCCCTATTACCGCGTCTGGCAGCGGCGGCGTCATTACCGGAGGCTAATGGCCGTCATCGGGCTCCGCCGGCGCCGTCATTAGGGCCCGATCGGACCGTCACCGGTGGCGGCGCCGGCGGCCGACGGACGCGCGTCACCCCGTCCCCGCTGGCCAGCGATCACCTCCCCTTCGGTACACGCACACGCATAAAGCATCCTGGCCGAGTCCCGAGTCGCGAGCCCCCTAGCAGCCACCGAGCTCGAATGACCGGCGCGGTTTTTGCCTAACGCCATAAACCCGCCACCGGTGTGCCGAAATCACCGCCGACCGTCGATCGCATTCAATCTTGGCCGCCCGATTGAGCCACGCGCGCCGCTGCCGGGCCGCGCGTAAACGCAGCGGGTCGGCGCGTCACGGCGCAGCGCGCGCAGCAAATGTCACCCTCTGTCTTATTTTAGAGCCGGGCTCTCATCAGACCGGCGCGCCGGCGCTCTCTCGCCGTCGGAGGCCGGCCGATCGGCGGGCGGTGTGCCCTGATGGACGGCTCATTATTGGGGCGGCGGCCGGCGCGCGCCGACGACCCGCACTTTCTCGCCCCGCCGCTGCCACAGCGTGCATTCCCGACGCCACCGAAAGCGAGCAGGCTCAAGGCTTTTTCCTCAAGACGAGCTGCTGGCTGGCGGCGACTCATGCTGGCCGGCGCCGCGCAGCGATGCTGACAATCAGTCCCCGCACCCAGTGACGTGCACATACGCGACACACGACACAGCGCGGCGATGACATAATTCCCCGGGGTGACTACTCACTGATTTGGCAGCGGTCGCCCGTCCAGCCGGGCGGACACGAGCACTGGAATTCGCCGCTCATGTCGATACACGTGCCGCCGTGCTGGCACGGGCCCGTGGCGCACGGGTTGTCCACCACCTCGCAGTTGTCGCCGGAGAAGCCCTCCGGACACGTGCAGCGGTACTTGTCGGGTCGCGTGTTCTCGCACGTGCCACCGTTCACACACGGCTCATGGGTGCCGCAGAAGTTGAGGTCTGCCGGAGAGAACAGAACACAGGTCAGGTCACAGGTCAGATCACAGCTCAGGTGACGGTTCATTGGGGACATTCATGGGTCAGAAGGGACACCCCACACCACCAGCTGCCTGCAGCATTCCCAGACCAGCCCTCGCTCGCTCCCTCCCCCTCTCGGCGGCACGGCCGTCACCAATACACGTGACGGGCCGTGCAGGCGGCGGCTCTGCACACCTCTGCAGCGCCCTGAGAAAACGCCGCCTCCCATGGCGAAATCAGCCGCGCGCATTGTTTCGGTAACCGGCAAGTCAGCGCCACCATCACGACTGGCGGGCCGATTTTTCCGCGGCGCCGCTCCGCCGTCGGCCCTCTCGTTAGGACGACAGGCGCGGAGAAGCGGCCGGCCGGCCGCCGCATAACATACATACGTTAGCGTGTGCAGGGCGCCTAACAATGCCACAGCCACGCAGCGCCGCGCCGACCTGCTTTACGATCGGCCCGCCGCTGCTACCTTTTCAGCGCCGATTATTTATCGCAGCTGCTCGCGCCGTAGCTCAGGCGGGCGCGGCTCCGCGCTGCTCCGCGATGCTCCGCAGCCGCCCGCCGTCGCAGTCTCTCGGTGCTAGCGGCCAACTCGAATCTCGGCGCCGACGTCTCCGCTGACTTGGCGGCCCCATTCTGCGCGGGTGTGATTACAAACCGGCCAACAATGCCGCCACTATTACTGGTCGACGGGCTAGCGGCAGCGCGCCGCGCCGACCAGCGGGGGACATTATTAAGAGGCAATCGTTTATCACAGCTGCCGCCGTATCAGGGCTCAGCGCGGCAGTAGTGGCCGGCCGTCCACACGGGCCAGCGGGATGTCCGGACGTGTCAATCGACCGACATCGTGCCGTCCATAGCGAGTGGGCAGCCGGCGGAGAGTAGCTGGCGGAGAGCAGCGACAGCGAGCAGCCGCCGTTTGTAAGGCTGCACGGCTGTCCTGACATGTGGGCATGAACTGAGCGAATGCAGTGGCAGCGAATGCAAAGATAGCGCAACACGGGCGTCTGGTACCGCTTGAAGCCGCTCGAGTGACAGTTCTTGCAAATGCAGCCCAGCTGAAGAGAAACAGTTCCTACAGTGACAGCGCCTGCTACCGTGGCGGCGGATATTGTCAGCTCTCCTGCTACTGTAGCAGTTTAGGTAATGGCAGCTTCTGCACTGGCAGTTTAGGCTTCGGCAGTCCCTGCACCGGCAGCCGCCCTATCGACAGCTGCAGTGGCAGCAGCCTCAGTGACATCAGCTACACTAGCAGCAGCGGCCCGACGGTTTACGAGCCGACCGATCTGGGTCCCCGTTCGGCCGGCGATAAATCGACCTGGCCCAGATCGGCTCCGCCCTGGTGCGGTCGTCGGCGCCGTGAAATCCCGGCCGAGTTATCGATACGATTACGGCGGCGGCTGTCGTCAGCAGCGATGATGGAGCGCGCAGTCAACACCACTCTGCTGACTATCTGCATACGGCAGCCGCCGCTCCCCGCCGATAAAAAACTGCCGACCGCCTCCCCTCAGCAGCCGGTGCAATCCCCGTCAAGAGGCGCCCCTACCGAATTTGACTGTTTTGCACATTTGGGTTTAAGCGATCCGTCGCCAGGCCCCCGGGATTAGACGGAATATGTCATACGGGGGAGTGGGCTTAAACTTAATTATCGACTATTCATGAAACCCCACCCCGATCATTGAATGACGGTAAAGCTCCCGGCGGGATTTTGATGGATTCAGCCGAGCCTCATCGTGCGGCGAGCGCTGCAGCTGGCCGAGACGTCATCATTATTCATTTGCGTCCACAAAGCCTGCACCGGCACGTGCGGTACCACGAGACACGGAGACAGGCTCATCCGTCACAACCTGCCGAAGACGCCACGCCGCGAACACTGCTCACCGCCCAAATAAGTCAACACTTGAGCCGACAAAGGAGGCCGGCGGTTTAACGAGCCAGATGGGACGATGCTCTCCCCTTGGATGGCTAATCCAATAGCTGTGTCATAACTCTGTGGAGCGCAATGTGGCGCCGACCGCCACCCGGCGCGGCTCTCCAAATGGGCTTACAATGGGGCGACACCGGCGGTTCGACCGGCGGTCTCCCCTGTCCTGGGTCCGCCGGAGGCATTTCATCCCCTCCCCTCTGCTATTCAGAGGACTGTTGTCCTGAAACCACACAGCAGCCAAGTAATTAAGGGGTGAGGAAAGCCGGAGCAGCCGATGATCCGGAGGACACAATGAGATGTGTCGCCACCGCAGACGCCAGTCGACCGGTCCATGAAGCCGCTCTGTGCTGCAAGAACCGCCTCTGATAGCGGCACCGGTGACCGGCTATCGGCAGCCGCCATCGGCAGACTGTTTACAGCCGGACAGTCGCTATCTCGCCGGTCAGGGACGGCAGAGCGGCCCGCAGCCGTACTCACCCTGCTCGCAGAGAATGCCGCCCCAGTTGAGCTCGCAGTTGCACAGCCACGGCTTGCCGTTGCAGAAGCCGTGCTTGCAGCCCGGGTAGGGGACGCACTCGTCGCAGAACTCCCCCTGCCAGCCCGGCTCGCACCTGAAATAAAAACACACACCGGTCAGTCAACTGATACCACCAGTCCACACGGTGTCGGTCATATATACCCTCCCCTCCTCCGGCTGCACCTGTTTAACTCTGGGGGCGGCTCGGAGGACCCCCAGCGGCGCGGCCGTCCGACCCCACCCCGGTCAGCGCGGCCGGTGCAGCGGCCAGCGCGGCCTGTAACCGGACGCAGGGCGCCGCTGACAGGCGCCGGCTCGGCCCAGCTTTACGTTCGTCATTAGCCATCGCCGCTGGAGTTAGCGTCGCTTAATTAAATAGCACTGCGACAGATATGTGGCTGCGGCTCGACTAATGTCGGTCCGGTCCGGGCCGGCTCCCAGCGGCCCCCCGCAGCGGCGGCAGAAAACACGGGGCGGCAGCCGGCGCAGGTGATGCCGCAGAGCGGCGCACTCAGGCCGTCTCTCGTCTCCCGTCTCCGTCTCTCGTCTCGCGGAGGCCGGCGGAGGCGGAGTCGACAGCGGCGGTCCGTTCTCTCCCGGGTGATTATTTCTACGGTCGGAGATTAATGACGCGACCAGTATCGCGCCATCTCCGACGGAATCCGTGTACTCGATAATTAGGTAGTCGATTATTAGCTACAGGCTGCGGCGGCAACCGATCGCACCATCTTGGACATGGCGCGGAGCTAAACAAACAGGCGACCGAAGAGATAGGGCGTGCGCCCACCCCCGGCCGTCCGCCCGCGCACATTTACGGCTCAGATCGACACGGCGGAGCGACAGAATGGCATTGAGAGTGACACGGAGAGAGGAACAGAGAGACAGCAGCGGGAGCGACACAAGATCGACATCGGGAGGAGCAAATGGATCGGCACAGAGAGCGGCTCTGAGAGTGGCAATGGGAGCGGCATCGAGAGCAACAATGAGAGCGGCATCGAGAGCGACAATGAGAGCGGCACCGAGAGTGGTACCGAGAGCGGCACCGAGAGCGACATTCAGAGCTGCGCAAAGAGCGGCACTGGAGCGGCATGGAGAGCCACTGAGTGCGGCACAAAGAGAGACATCAGGAGCGGCACTGAGAGTGAAATCAGAAGCCTCACAGGGAGCGGCAATGGGAGCGACATAAGGAGCGGCACGGGGAGCGGCAATGAGAGCGACATCAGGAGCGTCGCCGGCCCGTCCGGCCGGTGACAGGGCTAGTCGTGATAGAGACGTCGCACCACCAGCCAACGGCAGCAGCTCATAAATAAATGCATGCCAGCGCCGCGTCGATTTGTCGACACCGGCTTTGGGCGGCGGTGTCGGCAGGGTATTTACATGCGGTGGGAGGGCCGCTGAAGAGGCATCGCGCCGCTGCTGGGTTTTTGGAGAGCGGTTGGTTGACCACGGCGAGCGACGGAGGACCATCCGTACGGTCACTCTAGGATCATGGTGGGGAACGAGTCAATACTGGCCGAGAGCTGTTGTATTGACGAAGACTAGGTCTGCCGGTTTCTTTCCCTTGTAGTGCAGTGCTGCACAGTGCTGTCCAGTCCTGCTTCTTCCCGTGCACTCCACCATGTCATACAGTTGTACCCGTGCCTCGTTCCGTGCCTCGCGCCGTGCCTCGCGCCGTGTCGCCCCGTGCCGTGCAGTGCCATGTCGACCTTGCCTCCTCAGCAGGACCGGAGTCGGCGGGCTGACTCACTGTCGCCGCCGCTCCCCGGCCGGCCACCGTTCTCACGGTGCAACTCAGAGGCGCGTCCAGCTCCCCGGGACAGGGGGACGGTCCCCAACCGGTCCCCAAGCCCGACACACAGTCCGAGGTGTCGGCAGAAGCCACCGCGACAGGCGACCGCCGGCGACCGGTCGGCAGCCGCCGCCCGGCCTGGCCGACCCTGGATACTTCCCTGTTCACACCGCACGAAAGGATTACAGCATGCCGGTGCACGGTGCCATGCAATGATCGACGATGCACGGGTGATAAGGCACATATCCAACATCGCAGGCGGGTCGGCCGTGGTCCCTGCGCCACATGGGGGGACGGCATTCCGAGGCGGCGACTGGACGGCAACGGACGGACTTGCAAACAAACGGACAGATGGATAGATGGTCGGACGGATAGACGGACGTACGAATATACGATGGACGCACGGGAATAATATAAAGTACAAATCGGTTGTATATAATGCACATCCAGGCAAACTCGAAACAAAAGACCGAGAGCAGCGGAAACTATAAGTCAAACGAGCGGCGTCCGCCACGGTCCACGCCAACCGTCCGATGACCGGCCGATTCGACACGTCGCGGCGTGCTCTGTGAGCCAGCACGGCCGGCCGTGCTCGCTCCGTCTGACAAGCCTTGTTGACAGTTGAGTCACGCCGGAGTCGAGCGGCGGCCGTTCGTGGGAAACGCTCCCTGCCGGACACTGCGCTCGACGAATCGCTGACGGAAGTCGGCCGCGGCCGCGCCGGGAAAGTTCATCAGCACCGGTTCTGTGAGGTGTTGCAGCGGCCTAGCGCCTGTGGTTAGCTGTGTACCTTCTACCCTGCTGACCACAGAGTTGCAGTGCATAGACGCGTGAGATTGGAAGCTGCGTTTGTGACATGGCCGTTCACATATGATACATCAAGTAGGATGAAAATTATCTTAGTGCTAGTTATAGCAGCAACGCTTTAGTGAGACGACAGAAGAGTTATCCATTGCCCCAAAAGTAGCGGCGGCGGTAGTGCAGAGGCTCTCCACGTCCGGGTGAAGATACGAATCCACTATATGAAACGGGAGCGGCTCGGTCGGCCTGGAAAAACCGGCGTGACCCGGGCAGCTTATCCTTTGGGCAGGCCGACGAGCCGCCGTACGGCGGGCCCACGAGTGCCGGGAGTCTGCAGCGTGGCTGGAACCGGCGTCTGAGGCACGGCTGGGGACCGAATGTGCCAGGCCGGACCAGCGGCGCGGTGACCGGCGGGTGTAGCCGGGAGGCGGTGCCCTGTGCCCGTCTCATTAGGAGCTGACGAGTGGCCGAGACTCTATCAGACAGATCGGGACGTGCACCGCATCCGACACGGCGCGTCTCACGGTGGGCGGCGCGCCGGCGCAAAAAGAGCACCACAAAGCCGCCGACCGGCGCACAGCGTCGATACCATCGCCGCCGTCGACACTCGCGGCGCGGCGCGGCGTGAGGTGGCGCGCGCAGCCGCTTCTTGTGCGTTCCCTTCCTGCCGGGCGGGGCGGCGGCAGGCTGTGGAAGTGTCCATCTCTGGGGAGTGACCTGAGGCGCTCCTCCCTGGGAGGTGCTCCTCCGGCGGCCGGCAGATCCGCCCGGCCGACACAGCAGTCATGTCGCCTCCGTCACTGCGCCGACTGCGCCATTGTCGCCGCCGCTGCGCCGTTTTTGCCGCAGCGCCGGCAGCTCGGCTGACACAGCCTTTGCCGATGTTTTTGCCGGTGACAGACGGCAGAAATATAATATTTTTCTGCACCACCGTGACTGGCGCAGTCCTCTGAGAGTCCTCCCGACCGCGGCCAACACAATGCCCGCTTTTTGTGGGACTTCGCGTTTCCTGCGCCGCGTCGGGCTTCAGATTAATATGATCATTACGCCAGGTGGGTTGTGTTTGGTTTGTGTCGCGGGCTTCCGATACCGATAGGAGCCGATAGGGGTGCGGCTGGTGACCTCCGTGTGCTCGGCGGTCACCAACGCCGGTATCGCTGCAGCTGTCCAGGTGCCGGCGCAGCTGCCGCCGGCATCAAATCACGAGCAAAGTTCGCAGTAGCGCCGGCCGCACTCTGCGTTAATCGTTGGCTATCAGTGGACAGAGCGCCATATGGCCGGCGAGTGGTGTGCAAGCGGCGACGGTCAGAGGGCACGGCATTTACTGGGGTCACGACAGCCGCCTGGTCACGGCGGCCGAGCAAAGCGGCTCGGGTGCACGCACACAACAGACACACACGGTGGGGTTTCGGGTGGACCCGTGGGCTCACCTGCACTCGCCGGGCCGGTCACAGCGGCCGTTGATGGGGTGACAGCCCTCCTTGCACTGAGCTGTAACACAGAGAAAATAACGGTCAGATGGATGGCCCGTGGTCATCGGTCATATGGTCTATTGATTTTTAAACGGTGAATGATCGAATAGCAAATCTCATTGCAGTGACAGCCATGATCGTTGTTGTAGCACATCGATCAAAATTATGGACAGAATATATCCCGCCACTACTAGCAAATCTATGACAAACTATTTGACATGCATCATCGTCTCACCCCACCACCCTCCCCTCCCCCTGCTCCTTCGGATGGCATACTCACGTGTCTCACAGTTGGGCGGCCCGACCCAGCCGTCCAGACATTGTTTGTCGCCGTTCTGGTCGCACGTGTAGTGACCGAACTGATCGTCCCGCGGCCGGCACAGCTTGGTGCACGTGCTGTTGTAATAGTTGTCGTCACACTGTACTCTGAAGCGGTAGTAGACGGTGGCGGCCACGCCGTGGTGCGTGGTCGAGTGCCAGTCACTGGACGGCTTCAGGATGCCGGAGTGAGTGGCCAGCTCGATCACCTCAGCGGCTAGAGGGGTAAGGTCGGGTCAGGTCAGTGAGGGTCAGGTTACGTCAGGTCAGATCTGCGCCATTTGAGCTTTTGGTCTCACAAAATGATGATGTATTACATTGTTAGTTCTGCAGGCGATTCCACCAAGGCATTTTTGCTTGAAAAAATAGCATAATTAATCGTTTACAGTTACCATAATAAAGTCGGGAACAGCTTAATGAAGAGCATTATGATCGGTAACTAATAAGATAGATGCTGCGTTTAACAAAACCTACGAAAAGGCATACATCAATACAGAGTGCCGTTGACGGAGACGGTAAATGAGACGGAGACGGAGGAGACGGTGACGAAGGAGACAGTGACGCGGCACATGTCGACCCAATTTGCGCCGCGCGCGGGACACATTCCGTGCCTTTGTGTGCCGCTGAATGCCGCGCCGGAACCGCCGGCAGCGCGCCGTGATCGTGACAGCCGCGTCACGAGCGCGGCGCGTCAGCTGCGCCGCGCGGCACAGACGGCGCGCCGGCGTCAAAGGGTTGGCGCGCGCGGCGCCGGCCGCACGAAAGACATCTGACAGGGTCAACGGAGCCGCGGCTCGGGGCATGAAGGTACGACACAATATTATCGCCTTGAAGTTGGACAGAAGCACAAAAGGACGGTGGAAAATACAAGGTCGGGCGAAGTAAAGTCACTGAGCGAGGCGATTCGGTAGAAGAGGTCATTGGACGGCACGGGACTGAAGGAAGACGGAGCACCGCCGCGCTGTGCGCTGGCAGGTTCCCTGAGCTCCGCCGACCGGCGCTGGAGGGCCGGTGACGGCGATGTGCCCGGTGAGCCTGCTGGATAGGCGTGCCAGTTCATAGAACGTGGCATGGCCACCGGAGCGGGCCGGATTATCCCGTCCACCTGACCGACTCGCGTGCTGCGGCGACGCAGGGCGCGGCGAGTCGGCCGGCCGGGCGCTCCAGACTGACATCAACCGGCGCCCACCACCGTCCGGCAGTCAACTGGTTCTGACCGGGCACCCGCTGAAATCCGAGCCGCGCGCACCGGCGCAGTACTTACCGGGCTGTCCCTTGACGTTGTCGAGCACCTCCAGTACCAGGGTGAAGTATCTCTGCAACAGACCAGAACAGAGCGGCGTCAGAGGGTAAGCCGCTTAGGACGGCTCGGGCGCCGGCACTGGCGGCGCACCGGGGCCGAAAAAGGTGGCCGGATTACACGTGTCTGTTCATCACAGGCAGCCGGACCGATGGCTGCTGTAATCGGTCAGTGGACCGGCACAAGACGCCGCTCTGACCGCCAGGGGTCATGGGGCGGGATCAGCACACACAGGTCAGGAACGGGCGCGCACATAAGGAGCTCACCGACCGCACGAGTCAGAGAAACCCGGCGCTATAAATCCTACTTGATTAAACGAATGTAACCAAAGCTACCCTAACGAAAGCGCACGTTGGACCAGCAACGAATCCAGCGCCCCTGTGTTGTGCCGTTCTCGTGCATGTGTGCGGGGATGCGTCGTCTACTGTATGTGTGCGGGCGATACGGTGCGGCGATGCGGCGGGCGATAGCTCGGTTCCCGTCGCGGTACGGCGCACACCGACACGTGTCTACCGTGTCGGCGGCGTCGACAGCATGTGTCTAACAGAGGCGAGCTCCCGGCTGTGACAACAGAGCGCCAGAAACAGACCGAGTGGCACATAGAACGGATGATTCTGTTGGCAGATGGACGACGCGCAGCATGGGGCGGTTATAGCAGTAAATGTGTAATGCCACTTAAGATGTTACACTGCAAACCAGTAACAGGCTATTGAACAGTGGATGCGTCAATCTCAAGAGTTCTCATCATGGCGTCACAGCGCTCTGCGACGTCATCAAGAAGCCATAACGGCGTCATCAGGGAGTCATCGAGGCGTCATCGGTACCGACGCGACACGTGCGCCGGCGCCCTGCCGCCGCCGATGACGGCTGTCCCCCGTTTTGAGAGGGGAGACGCAGGAGAGCAGCGAAAACCCACAAAAACCCACATCCGGCGCTCACTTTAAGCGGCAGGATTGCGGGACATCCCGTAAAAGTGCCGTCCCCTCGGGCGACAGCGCGGGGGAGTCGTTCGGCAGCTGCGACAGGAGACAATCGCCGGCGCAGAAACACAAATGTGGCGTGTGACTCTGCGGTAAAAATACCCGCGCCGGGGACGCCGTCTGGACGACCGAGGGTCGGGGTGACATTGGCGTCGCGTTCGGCACTCTCAGACACCGTAAAAAGCCGGCTGGCGCGGCTTCACTGGGTGACTGAGCCATTGGGATTGTGATACATTTGGCGTCGTGAAATGGGTCATTGCGGCCAAGGGTAGAGGGATTTGTCGACATGACTCCATTCAAACGCCAATCATCGGCAATACAATAGTGCTAAGTCATGAGTTATATCGATAAAACGGCTCAGATACCATCGGCGAGCTACTGTGTTCAATATTCAAACGATGCAAGACGCCAGCTGAGCGGATACGGCTGATCCGCCTCTGCAGCCGTTAGCGAGGCTCGCTGGAATGACGTTCATGCGGTCCCAAGGTAAATATCCAGCCGGAAGAGGCGTTCTTGACTGCCGACGACCTCCAGACGTGCTGGCTGTCCGGCCGCGCGGTCCCCACAGCTCCTCTACTGCGCCGTGCCGGGCCGACCGCCCCCTAATCGTTTCAGAGGAACCAGAGATCAGTGGCGCGCAGTAGAATTAGCGAATGCGATGTGCTGATTTCGCGTCATCAGCACGCTGACGGTTCAGGAGATAGCGTTATCAGCACCGGAGGACACCATCGACTGTCGCTCCTGGAGAATGGAGGAGTCTGGAGCTCCCAAGCCTGGGCCACACCGGGCCCGATGAAATCGCCGTGCAGGCGTGACTATCGAGGCTGAATCAATGGCCGGGCGGCAGCAGGGGCATTCCACGTCAAATCAAACACCGAAATCCGTCATCCCCTTCGATTTTTCTGAAAATTTGTAGGCAGACTGGGCATGGTTCAAAACTGAGTTACGTATAATATTTTCGAAATTTGATAACGTATCGCTGAGATATAGGTCATCGAATATAGCGAAAAATGCCACACATCAATTTTTTTAAATGGCTATAACTCTGGTTCCTTTCCTGGTATCAAAATGATATTAACAGGGTCTTATAGGCAATTGATAAGGCTTTGATTTTTAATCATAAAATTAAATTGAAGTGACCTTGAAATGCATTAGACCTTGAATCAAAACAGAAAAATTGAAATAGCAAAAAACACGTCACCTTCGATTTGGGTAATTTTTACATATTATGTCCGTCACAATGTTCCTAACCATCTGTGAAAAAATTGGAGTGGGCCATTCATAACTTTCGCGGCAAACGCCGTTTTCATGCATCAACATCACGCAACCGCGCGTGACCTTGAAAGACAGAGTCAAGACATGCTTGCTTGTGTACACTTTCTGAAATGAATGATTGCTGATTAGTGATATCCCAAACTCTGCGAAAATGGAAATGCATAGTCATCGTAGTCAAGCATTCACGTTCCATAGTGAAAGTGTCTCAGGCAAACGGTATTTTGCGGTGAATTTTGAGCCGTGTGGAAATGCATCATGAAGTAAATTCAACGAAAACATTATCACGCAACGATATCTTCACGTCTTTTGATCTTCACTATACGAAAGAACATACATTTTTTAGTGTGTATGGGGAATTTCTAGTTAATCCAATTATAAATATGGCAGTTAGAGTCCTGCTAAGAGTAACATGTCGCCGGCTGAGGCGGGCTCGGCCGATGCGGGAAACGCAGCAATCACAATTTTGTGTTTACACGTTCATATTTCAATTGTTTACCAACTGATTTTCAAAATTCTTTCACCATAAGATTGCCTGTACATTTCTTAGTCTTCTCACAAAATTTGACGCGAATCGAACGTAATCAGCGGTAGGGAGCGCGATGTAAAGACGGAACCGTTCCGTTCCGTCCCGGCACAGTCTACAATTCAGGCGGCGCGTAGCGGTCGGCGCCGGCTGCCGAGTCGCCGCGTCGCTGCGGCGACAGGATGTTCACTTTACACCGCTATTACTAGAACAGTTGTGAACCGATTTTCTTATTGCTTGCACGATGAGATGTCCAATTCAATTCTTGACAGGTAGCCATAATTAATTTCACATTAATCTTATGAGATATTGGCGAAAAACAGGAGAAGTGGGCGAAATTCGCTCTTCCCCCTCCACTGCGCGCGCTAACATACGTTTGCATATGTGCAATTTTCTTCAAAACTTATGAATGGCCCACTCTAATTTTTTCACAGGTTGTTAAGAATATGGTAGGCAATAAAATATATGAAAATGAGCCAAATCGAAGGTGACGTGTTTTTTGCTATTTCAATATTTGTGCTTAAGAACAGAGTTAAGCAAATTTCAAGGTCATATATTTACGTAGGTGCAATTCTAAACAAATGCTTAAGAAATTACCTAAACAGTAAGGTTTATTTCATTCAAATCAAACAAGTACAACCAAAGTTATGGTCGTTCAAAAATATAAAGATGCAACATTTTGTAAAAATTTGATGCCCTATATTTAGAAGACCTGTGGTCAGAATGTGCAAAAAACATCAATGTAATGTCCGGGGCCACACAGGAACTCGCTCACAAATTTATAATGAAATCGCTGATGGTAAGGTGCAAAACAGCCGATTTTTGTTCGATTTGACATGGAATGCCCCAGCAGCGAACCGCTCTCGGCAGCTCACTGCTCAGCCGCTAACTGCCGGCAGACATGCAAGGTATACCGAGCAGCGGCGTCCGGCGAGCTGAGAGCAGCGCCAGCCAGCAGCGGCGGCGCCGACCCCCGGCCGCGCCCCGCTGGACGGCTGTCCCATCGGTCCGATCGTGCCCTGATGTATGCAGGCCGGTGACGGTCCCACGGAGTGACCTCCAGGGCGGCCGGGTCAGTGCCGCAACTGCGCCCGTCCGCCGGCGCCGCCGCAACCGCCGCCAACAGCCGGCGAGCCCCTCGCGCCCGCCGCTTCCAGCCGGGTCTTTACGGCCCCGCGGCATTTTTATTCGACGAAATTCGAAGCAATTGCCTTCCTGTGGCGGGGTCAGGTAATGTGTGGAACGACCCGAAATTGCAGCGGCCGCCGTCAGCATCCGCCGTAAAGGAGCCACGACACAAGGCAGGGCTGATTACTCCAGACGGTTATGGGCGGGCTGCTCCCGCATAATCGCTCGGCATACCCGCAGAAAAAGGCCGCGTGGCGTCCGGCCGCGGCCCGGCGGCGGTCGGGGAGCAGATGGATGAAGTGTCACCGAGGCCCGTCTGTTTTGTGACCGGCATTCCGTCCGACGGCGCGGCATCTAATCGTCATCTGCCATCAGCGGCGGCGGCGGCGGCGGCGGGGATTGTTTGCGGCCGGCGCGGCTCGGCGCTCGTCATCGGCCGGTCGCCGCGGGCGGCCGCCGCCCCCCGCCGCCGCCGCCTGTGATCGCGGACCGACCGCGCGGTCACTCCATCGGCCGCGGTAATGATCCGCCCCGCCCCCGCCCCCGCCCCCGCCCGGCCGACACCTCAGCGGCGTTTTTGTTGCACGTCCGCTGCCGACAGCAGCTGTCATCCGCGCTCTTCAATTCCGCTCGGCAAAACAGCGGCGGCGTATCAGCGCCCCCGATCTGCGCCCCGGCACCGACCGCGCCGGTCAGGAGCAGCATCCAAAAACACCTCCACTCCACACTGACCCAGCCCCCGTCCGAGCACCGGCTCTGACCTCACTGACCTCTCGGTATCCTCTTCCTAATAACACACTTAAACCCATCGAATATGCGGCCAATAAACAGTCACAGTATGGCGCTGCGTGCGGCTTGATTGTTCGCCGGTCTCCGATACAGTCTGCCCATGAATACCTGATATCAATGCGGTCAGCTAATGGTTTATTGGCGCAACAGGGAGCTGGATGGTGGCTGACGGCGGCTGATGGTAGCTGAGGGTGGCTGACGGGACGCGCCTCTCGCCTCATCACCCGCTCGCCGGCCCGTCGGGAGCGCCGGAGGCGGCGGCTGGTGGAGTGGGGTGTTGTCGGGCGGCAGAGAGAGGACCGATCGGATAGGGAAGGGCGC